GGGCAAGAAGAAACGGTCATTCTCATCTTTTACTCTTCATGTCTGGAATACCTTACTCCCTTTTGTTGGTTTCTTGGACTCCCTGTCGTCGATGAGTGCGGGCAAATGACGTTTGCCAGAGATCGAGCGACACATTCTTCTCTGACTCTCCTGTTGGTTCCTGTTTTTTTGCACGTGGGTTTAAGCTGTGGCGTAACTTGCGCCTGGCACGAGTCGCCAAAAGCACTCAAGGGAGAGGAGGGACATCGTACCATCGTGGCACGGGTCTGACATTGCAAGGCATTCAAGATATCAAATCGCGAGAATATTTTTCTTTCTGTCTTTCCCTGTGAGACCATCGTGAATTTGACAGCCGATGCGGCAAGAAACATCGCCTCGCGCAATTTCTCTCCTCTTCCACGGTCTTCAGCGCGGTGATTTCAAAACTACATGCGCCCAAGCCCCGCACATGGAATATATGTTCCGGCGACATGACGCACTCCCGACCCTGAAAAGGGTCTTGGAAGTGGTGTATAAAGGGGGGGTCTTTCCAAGTCATGTCTATCTCTTTCTTCATTCCAGAGTAGATATTTAGACTTATTTTGTCTCCCAACATCAGCCCATCGCACCACCACGCCACGGCAGATACCGCCCTGACACAAGAAAGACAAGAACAGCCGAACCGAAGCCGACGCCATCACGATGTCTCACCTCAAGTACTACGCCTACGAGGGTGTCGGCGAACGGAACCTGAAGACCTTTAGCTACAACCAGGCTGTGAGAGTGGGCGACAAGATTGAGTGCGCAGGCCAGGGTACGACGTCATCCATCCATCTCCTTCGTCCCTCCCTTCATGTTACCTTTGCTACCGCGTAACGTTAACTAACGACACGACAGGCGGCTGGGACCCCAAGACGGGCGAGTTCTTCAAGGAGATCAACGCGCAGATCGACCGGGCGTTCGAGAACGTCGAGCTCAGCCTGAAAGACGCCGGCGGCAAGGGGTGGGAGCAGGTGTACCGCGTCAACTCGTACCACGTGCCCATCAACGACGAGGCGCTGGCGGCGATGGTGCGGAACTTCAACAAGTGGATGCAGAACCATAAGCCCATCTGGACGTGTGTGGGTGTGCCGAGGCTTGGGGAGGATGATATGAGGGTTGAGATTGAGGTTGTGGCGCATGATCCGGAGGGGGCTGAGAAAGCTGGGTCGGTGTAATGAGGATGAATGTGAATCATGAGAGTTACTTCAAAGACAATGAGTTAGATGCTGGAAATGTGATCAATTGTGCATCAGACGAGGCGTCCTGATCTTAGGCGAATTTGACATAGTCTTGTCGACAGCTTCTAAGTTAATCTCACCGACAACTACCATCTCGAGTCTAAACGCACCGGCGAAGCCACACAGACCTCATCATCATCATCACACACTGTAAGTCTCCAATTCATAGTTCCATTAAACGTCTAGTCTCATCTATGTGACAAGATCCCCCCGAAGTTCCCCCATATTAAAACGCCGAATTCGCAACCATTTTCGCTTGGATGGATAAGGCGGAAGTTCTCTCAACTATACAAAGTTTGAAGGGTATATCCGCATGCAACTACTTTGCCCTCTTACACAGGCAGGTCTCTTATGCCTTGCCGGCCTGGACGAGGAGGGCGGCGTGCTGCTCGGGGTGAGTCTTCTCGACGTTGCCCTTGGCCATCTTCTTCATGAGCATGTTGGCCTCGATGTCGACCTCCTCGCGGAGGATGAGGTTGGCGCCCTCGTTGACGACGCGCCACTTGCCCTGGATGACGAGGGTGCCGACGGGGGGCTTGGCGTTGACGAGGGTGTCGACGCCGTCCTCGAGGTTGCTGATGGTCAGCTGATAGGTGGTCTGGCCGATGGGCTTCTTGTCGGTGACGGAGTAGGTGGCGGACTGGCCGAGGCCGACGGAGCCGGACTCGAGCTTGTAGGAGACGAGGGCCGGGCAAAGCGTCTTGACCATCAGGTCGTGATTGTGCATGGCGGCGAGGACCTGGTTGCGGTCGACGCCGGCGGGGACGGGGGTGGAGACGACGGTGGAGGGCATTTTTGCGGTTTTGGGTTGTTGGTTCGGGGGAGGAAGATGAAGAGAGTGAGGGAGAGTTGAGTGAGTGTGTGTATGTCTGTTGTGGGAAAGTGGTGGAGAGTGAAGCTGGAGATGCACGATGACCAAACATCGCTCCGGGAAGGTTCTTATAGATGTCTCTCCATGCCTTCGCTCAGGCCGGGCGTTCGTGTCTCGTGGTATCTTCAGACGACTTAAGAGGTTACGGTGCCTTTTGCTCCTCCGGCACGTCTGTCTCCCCTGACCATCACCCTTCACATCCACGCCGGACCATCCCCCCAATGCAGACAAGACAAGAACGACGCGCACCGTTACGCCGCTGACGGTTTGAGGTTCGCCGTGTTCGCTGGTTCACGGTGGTGGTGGTGGGGGGTAAAGGAGAGATGGGAAGGGGGCCAGTGCCCGCGAGTTGCAGGAGACGCAGGCAAGGAGGCTAAACTGGCACCGGGCCGGCCGTGCCCCGGCCGTGCTCCCGCCGAGCCGGACGTTGGGGCATGGAGCTAAGCAGACGTGAGGCTTGCGGCGCTAGCGCAGCGCGGCGGGCTTTTTCTTTTCTTGGGCTGTTGGGGTTGTGTGTAAATAGGTCGGCGGGCATCCGTGGAGAAGTCCGCCTGTGAGTGCGGGATGTCTCTCTCGCCAGCCGCAGGATTCAGGGGCAAAGGGGAGAAAGCGATGGGAAACCGCCATGTTGGTATGTCAGATTGGTGCCTTGGTGTCGAAGCAAACATTGGAGACATGATTCTGTTGGTTTGCCACGGTAGATGCAGTGTGTTTGACGTGGTCTTTGATCAGAGTGTTTCAACCCCATAAACATGGTTTCTTTGTGACCCGGTGGTGGTGTGCGTGCCAAAGGACCGTCGGCCGCCCAAATGTGGCCAAACACGTTTGCAGAACGATATCAGCTGTGCCAATCAAGGCAGAGTTCGTCCGAGAAATGCAGCCAAGTAACCACCTCACAAGCGTGTCGCTCCTCTCCGCAGACTTGACGCGGCCCTGGCCATTTCGAGAGGGCCCGAACGAGCCTTGGCATCTGCGGGAAGCTTTGAACTGTCTGCAGCTCTTTGAACCCCTAATTCCATCTCAAGTGCGATTGAGTCTTGACGGAGGGGGTGAGGGAGGAGTAGGGCGATGGCGCAGATCTGTGCTGTCCCAGCTAGTCCGGTCCCCCGATTTTGGCGGCCAGTTGAGGCTCAACCAAGACCGTTTGATCAAGGCGCCCGGCATAATCATCTCTCTCCGTGTGACCCCCGCATAATGTCTTAGATCCGGTGAAGATGGATTAGTCCGTTTATCAAGATCATCGCGGGCCGAGATTGTTGGGTTGGCTGACTTCCTCCACGTAAGCGTCGCGTCGCATCCGGCAGATGGAAACACGTCCAATATGACCGCTCCCCACCCCCAAACAGCATCATTCTCAATCTCCTCAAACACACAGGTCTGAGTGTGTCCTTGCATAGGGCCAGACGGGAGGCAGCGATCGGCATGGCACCGGACTTGGGTTTGGGGGTGGTCGTCGGTGCGTTTGCTTGTTTAGATGCGTGGCGCTAAAACGAGGCAGGCCAGAGGCAGCACGCAGCACGCAGGAACCGCTGTCTGTCCGTGTCCCTCTCGGTCCATGGCGTCGCGCCCGCCTCTGTTTATGACGGAGCGGAATGTCAATTTCGGGGCTTCGCGGTTGAGATGTTGAGCGCGGGGAGGATCTGCGGTGCCTTGGAAAACATGCGATTCTGAGATAGGGGTCCAGGGGAAGGATTGTAAAGGATGAAGATGCTCTGGGGCGACATGAGTGAATACGACCCAGTTCTGTGATTGAGAGCGCCGGCTGCCTTGGCGGTTCGTAGATGATTGAGTCGTAGCACTTGCTCTCGAGCAGCGTATCAACGTGAAAGGTGCTGCTATGGTACCATGCTGATTCGTTGAAGTCGGCTGTGGTCGTCGCGAGGAGCTGAGTGGTTCTTGGCGACAGGATAGGATGAACTGTCTCGGCGCTAGGCCGTGGAGTGACGTCCTGTTAGAGTTCTATTTTGGGTTTTGACTTCCGATGTGAGCCCCGAGCTGATGAGACCTAAGCCTAAAGCTTCCTGCAACAGGAGCGGCCTCACATAGTCCATCATTCTTTTCAGATTGGTAGATAAATGGCATGGCGATCCCTCAATTCCAATAATTGGTACCTCGATAACTTGGCGCTGTTGGTTCCGTTTGACTGCAGCTGGCTTATAATGACTCGTGGTTGCCGTCAAAATGCACTCAAGAAGGCACAGCAAAACTGCTCTTTTGGACGCACAGATCTCGACAGAACTCACACTTGCAGCCTCTCGACGATCATGACACCCTTCGTTCTGGCCGCAAATATGAAAGTGCTGACTTGGAGGGCTCCCCTGGAAGGTGGTTGAGTATGTTCTTCAACAAAAAGGTGAATGTTCCTCGTAGGTATTTGAGCAGTCTTGTAAATCGATATGTGTCAGTACATATCTTCGGAAAATGCTCAAGATCCCATCAAGCGATGCCTTTCAACATTTCTTCAATGTTCCTCTACCGCATGCCTTTCCAAGGGCCTTATTCCCGGCAATGACAGTCTTACATCCCAACCAATCATAAACCTTTACCCATGATGTAGAGGGCAAGCGGCGGGGGGTCCGCGGGATACATATTCCGCTCAGCTTAGTAACCCTTCTCCAAACTCCATGTGATTGGCCCCGCACGTTTTCTTCTCAGTGAGAGAGCGGGTTCGTCAGACGACAGACACACGCCACGGCGAAGGGCAGAAGGGGGACATCTCGTTGCTGGACTCTTCCCTCGTCGCAACCAGAGGAATCTGTATTCCGCTCTCTCCGCGTGCTCCAGACCGTTCAACCGATTCTGTGATCAAACCCTTGCAAACCCGCATCGGCCAGCTTGAATCTCCGCCTCCGTCCGTCATCTTGGCCGCTATGCCCCAACCGTCAACGGAGCGGGCCGCGGGCCAACCGAAGCGCAGGTACACCTCGAAAGCCTGCGAAGAGTGCAGACGTCGCAGGGCAAAGGTGGGTGGATTCTCCTCCCTCTTTTTATACTGTCTCATCACCCATGTCTGCTCGTTGTGTTTCCTCTTCTGGTGGCATAAGAAAGGATGTTGACATCATACCTTGCCCCGGTTTGTTAGTGCGATGGACAACGCCCCGTGTGTACCCGCTGCTCCGAGCGCAACATCAACTGCATGTACAGGAGCGAGGAAGACGGCCGCAAGCCTGCTTCAAAGTCGTATGTGCAGCTCTTGAGGAACAGAATCGACCTACTGGAGGCCGTCCTGCAGTCTCACTCCATCGATATAGAGGCCTCTGTCGCGCAACTCACCGCTGCGGGGACCACCCCACAGCTGAATGCCGTCTCGACTGCGTTGGCGCCCGGGAGCAGCGACCCGGCGCTGGCTGGTCTGAGCCCCTCGGCGTTTGATGACCTCTGCACAACGTTCGAAGGGGCGTTGTCTCTGGATGAGTCGGTGAATTACGACCAGGATGGAGAGATGCGATACTTTGGACCGTCGAGTGGGCGGTTGGAGTTTCAGACTGGTAAGTGTCATTCGACCTGTGTTGATTTGACATTGAGGTATTCACATGTGCCAAGAAACCGCGCCCGAAGCCGAAGATCAAGAAAGCAGTCCTGCAACAACGAAATCTGTGGAATCAAACTGCTATATTCTCCCACTCGAGAGACTTGAGAGTGAAAACTATCCAGAAGACCTTACAAATGAGCTGATCGACTTGTTCTTTGAGTACCAAAACCCCTGGTGCCAGATCGTTGACGAGAAGCTCTTCAGACAGAGCATGAAGACCAAAGGGCGCTATTACAGTCCTTGCCTCCTCAACTGCATTCTCGCTCTGGGATCACGATACACTGATAGGATTGATGTACGCTTGCGACCCGAAGACCAGAATTCGGCCGGCAAACCGTTTTTGCAAAAAGCAGAGGTGCTCCTCCACAAAGACATGAAGCGCCCATCAATTACAACCATTCAATCAATGTCAATTCTGGTTGGGGTTTACGTTGTAAGTTATCTCACTCACCGCCTGCATCATTGGATGCTGATGACAGACAGTCATATGGTTGCGATGCTGCCGGTTGGCTACATCAAGGGATGGCAAATCGCTTGGCTCTCGACATGGGCCTTAATGTTGACGCTACATCTCTGGCTGGCTCAAATCTCATTCCTACCGAAGAAATTGAACTTCGGCGGCAGATGTACTGGGCACTGTACTGCGATGACAAGCTCGCGGCCATTTACACGGGTCGTGTTTGCAACTTCTTGGTGCGTGCAATCCTCATTCCAGATGAGGCATCCGGCTCACATGTCATAGGATGTCCAAGGAGCAGTCAATCTTCCTTCAGTGCCAGAACGGATGAGTGACGGTACAACAGACGCCAACGAAATGACTCGATGCACCAAACACATCCTTGTTCACCGAGCACTCATTGGTCTCTGCCGCATTCTCGAAAACATCCTTCTCGCCCTGTAAGATTCCTTCCCCCCTCACCATGAGCAATGGGACTAATCTTCACAGCTACGCCCCAAAACCACTCTACAAAGGGCCTCAAAGGATATCCTTCCTCCACTCATGCACCCTCGAGCTCAAGACGTGGTTCTACGAACTCCCAGCCGACCTGCGCATCGACCGCCCCAACGACATCCCTCAGGTCTACACGCTCAACATGGTCTACCACACCTGCTGCATCCTCCTCTTCAAACCCTTCCTCCTGCGCCCGAAGCAGACCACCACCGCGCCCAAGACGGACGCCATCAAGCGCGCAGAAACCCTCTGCATCGAGTCCGCGAAGCGCATCTGCCTCGCCAGCAAGAAGTACCGCCAGGTCTTTGACGGCTTCCGCAGGAGCCCCATCTCCGCGACGCACTGCATCCTCACGGCGTCGCTGGTGCTCATCCAGTACGCGAGCCCGGACCCGGACATGAGCAACAGCGGCCGGCCGTGCTGCACGCCGTACATTGAGATGTGCCTCGAGGTCCTCGGCGAGCTGTCGACGTCGTGGAACCCGGCGGGGCGCATGCGGTCGGACCTGATCAAGCTGCTGTACCAGAAGTACCCGGAGCGCATCCCGCACTCGCTGCTGCAGCAGTGCGCCCCGGACAAGAGCTGTGCCGCGGCGGCGGCAGCGGCGGCGTGTGTGGGGCCGATGAGGGAGAAGGCGTCGGCGGCGGCGGCGCAGACGCACCCGTTGCAGACGCATCCTACGCTGGAGCAGAATTTGTGTCCGCTGATGAATATGTTGGATGCGGATTTCAGCTGGGAGGCGGTGAACCAGGCGCCGCAGACGGCTCCGTTCAGCGATGCGTCTGAGTCTGTTTACAATACGCAGTTTGCGCTGGCGGATTCGATCATGGATGTCGAGGATGGTGGCCAGAATCTGATGGATGATGCGTTTTGGGCAGGGTTGAACTTTGACTTTAGCTATGAGGCGCAGTCATAGGATTTGGGACAGAGATTCTATGGAATGGATGAAAGAGTCCTTGTAAGTCGAGGGGTGTTCACCTGCTACCCCGTTGTTTTGTGTGGGTGAAGTCAACCTCATTACGGTAATCATTCATCAACTCCGGAGCAACAGAAGTTGCAAATGCGTTCACGCTGTCAGAAAGAGACACCACCAAGTTGCTATGATAAAGCCACAGGTCAGGAAGATTAATGGTATGTCCATTGAAAAGAATATGTACCTCGTCGCAAAACGACGATGGGCAGTATACACAAAGAAGAAATAAGTGAGCGTGCTATGTACAGCCAAGGGGGGTTTCACCATCACAGTCCCTTCTCCACCAACGATCCATCAAACTCATCGTCCACAGCTCAGTAAACAGCCGGGGCGAGAGAGTTGACGTAGATCTCAAGGTTGGTGTACCCGCCGGCCCCAATCTTCATACCATCAGACTTGTCGTTGGCGTCCAACCCGTTCGCAGTCTCGTACTCGTCAGGGATACCATCGCCATCGGTATCCTTCTTGGCCGTGCCGGCCTCGATGGTACCGACGCCGCCCATGGTGGCCTCGTCGGAGATGAGGGCGCCGGACTTGCCGTAGGAGGCGATCTGCTTGACGAGGGCGGCGTCGACGGCGTCGCGGGCGATGGAGGCGCCGACCTTGGCGGAGACGTGGGTGACGGCGTCGGCGGGGGAGAGCAGCTTGGCGGGGGCGGGGTAGGCGAAGGCGGTGGTCTGGATGGCCATGTTGGAGTAGCAGGTGGTGGACTCGCAGAGGGCGGCGCCGTTGAGGACGCCGTCCTTGTTGGAGTCGTAGAAGTTGTTCTTGACGTAGCCGCGGAAGTTGGCGTTGCCGCGCGTGAAGGCGGTGACGGAGGTGGAGGGGCCGGAGATGAAGTAGTTGTTGATGATGTTGGCGTAGCTGGGGGAGGTGTTAGTCTTGATGACTCGGTGAAGAGGCTGGAGAGGATTAGTTTTGAAAAGACTCACCTTGCGCCATCGCTGTCTCCGGCAATGTAGCCACCACCGCCGCCCCAGTTGTAAACAACGTCTATTCATCGAATTAGCATCAGAGCTTCCAGGAGCCGTAATGAAAACACCGAGCAACTTACTGTTCTGGAAATCGTTGACGCCCTTGACCTTCGGGTTACGGGTCTTGTTGTCGATATAAGCGTTGCGGAACAGCGAAACACCGCCAGTGTTGGTCTGCATCAAGCCGCCGCACGAGTGCGTCTCCAGGCCCTGCGCGATGATGGAGTCGGAGATGGTGACGTTGGACACCTCGCCGTTGATCGAAAAGGTCTCGTCGCGGCCCCACGAGACGGAAACGTGGTCGAAGATCATGTTGTTACCGTCGGCGATGGTGATGGCGTCCTTGCCCGAGTCGCCGCCCTTGCCCATGCGGATGCGGATGTAGCGCACGATGGCGTTGTTGGCGTTGCTCCAGCTGAAGCCGTTGCCGTAGACGGTGATGCCGCCGCCGGGCGCCGTCTGGCCGGCGATGTAGATGTTCTTGGAGACGACGATGCGCGAGCTGATCTTGATGACGCCGCCGACGTCGAAGACGACGATGCGGTTGGCTTGGGAGACGGCATCGCGCAGGGAGCCGGTGCCGGAGTCGCTGTGGGTGATCGTGTTAGTCGGGGGACGGAAGGACTAATAGGTGAGGGTGGAGCCGACGCACTCTAGGTTCGTGACCTTGTAGACGGAGCCGGTGCGGCCGCCGACGGAGTAGCGGCCGAAGCCCTCGGCGCCGGGGAACGCGAGGACGTCCGCGCGGGCGGCGATTCTGGAGCCGGTCCAGCCGGTGACACCGCACCCGGCGCTGTGGGTTTGATCAGCACTCTGCGCGTCGGAAACATTTTCGCAACATCAGACGATGTCGCATTTTGGGGTCTCTGTTGCTGCTTACGATGGGTCCTGGCACGGGAGAGCCGCGGCGAGGGTAGCCGCGGCGGCCAGGAGAGAGATGGAAGCCTTCATGGTTGTTGGGGAAGAATCGAAACAAAGAGTGTACCAGACAGCTTAAAACAGGAGGGATATACGAAGGATAGCGAATGAAACCAACGGGACTGCTGGGAAGGGGGGTGTTTGCGGCAAGCAGGACGAAGCAAAGCGAGGAAAAGGCAGAACACGACCCGAAGAACCGTGGGTCCTCGGATTGGTTTTGTAGGTCGTTGCCGTGTTGCAACGGCGATGGGCTATTCACTGTCCACCAAGCGAGGCACGTCGGATGGAGGCGCTCAGGGGCGCGGTAGGACGGGAAGGGTCATCTGGCCGTGACGAGACGAGACATTGGAGGGTGACAGGCGACGGCTGGATCTGGCATGACGGTCGTGGTTGCTTGTTCGGGGAAGCGAACGACCGGGATCTCAACCCAACACACAAGCCGTTCATGGGCTAGCATACAAGTACAGCAGACATTGCTTCTCCTGTCAGAACGTTTCTCAGGCCTCGTGGGACTGGAGCCAAAATGCCCACAGGTTTCCAGATTCCGTGCAGTAGCGCCCAGCTCAGACAGGAGAAAATACGCATGTCGGAGCGATCCTAGGGCGATTGGTGGGAATGGCAATGGTTCGGAGGCACCTCAGCGTCCTTTCGGGGGCAGAGACAGGCAGGATGTGTGCCCGTTTTGGCAGCGCTGGTGTGGGGAATCCCTGCGTTTTTGTGCTGTTTGGGTGATATTGAAGGGGCAGCGACGGGGCCTGTCGGGGCCGGGGACACGGGGCCACGGAGGTTTTCAGATTGATGAGGGCGCCGGAGGGTGGTGTTTGGGTGACATGGAGCTGGAAATACGAGCGAGAAGAGAGAGGGGAGGGAGAGAAAATCTCTTGGGATGCGGTTAAGGTTGAGGGGCGAAGCATGGCGGATGAGTTTCTTCCCACCTGTCGGACGTCATTGTCGATATTGAGTGTTGAAAGTCTATTGTGATGTAACACATGGCTATTCTATTCTCAGAGCGGACGAAAACATGCATGTTTTGGGAGTCGTTCCGCGATGAAAGTGGCAGGTAGTTCGTGATCTGAGTTAGAGAGCGACGTTCTACGGTCTTACTGCTGTGGAATTCTTCAATTAATCATTTCATTTGAACATGTTCGTTAGCATCGTGCTTATTCTCCTCGACTAATGTGACTGGTAGCGGCGTCATTCGGCCTTCCATGAAACTTAAGCAGGATAGCCCCAGGTGAACCGGTGTTCGTTCACCTTGTACCTTCTTCACAATCGTCGATTGGTATGAGTGGTCAAAGTAGAGTCTCAACCGGCTTCTCAACCAATGAGCCTCAGATCGGTCGTCAATCGCGCTTCACCTGCCATCCGATCTCATTTGAGACGCTGTGGCCAGTAGCAGCAAACAGCCCCCGGTGTGGCTGAGACGGAGGATGTTGAGAGCATCTTTGTCATCAGTCTTTGGATGAGGAGGAGGAAGGGGGCCCGGCAGTTGGAGCAACACAAGACGGACGACGGTGCCGAAGAGAGCTTGGAGCGCACGCGTCTTTGATGGGGCACGGCGGCGGCCGGGAGAGCGCCGACGAGCGCTAACGAATTCCCAAAACGAGGGGCGATGTCGGAGCAGGGGGGCCGCTGGGAGCTGCAAAGCTTTTTTTCTTTTTTTTTCTCTTTCTGTCTGGCAGGTCACGAGGCGATTGAGTTTTGGGGACTCAGTCACGTGGCCCCTCAGTGTTTTCTTCTTGCTCGTTCTTGTTGCTGAGACAGAGTTCAGAGCCAAAAAAGAATGCGACCGACAGCGAATGAGGTGTCTTCGGCAAGTCATTCGCAGGGTCTGGCCGGGGATTGCTACCCCTCTTCTTCAGACAGCGAGCAGTAGCAGAAACGTCTGGAAAAATCGGAGAATGGATGAAGGGGCTGAGGAACGACTTTAGTAGGACAGAGCTGTTCTCAGTGAATTTCATGGAGTTGAGGCTGCTTGAGTCACCCGCAACTCGGTGCCTTGCTGTGGCACACGGCACGGAGTTGCTCTGCCTTATCAAAAGTGCACATTGCCTCAGCAACTGTCAAGTCTCGCTCATCATCCATCAAAACTTCCGGGCTAATGAATGACCGCGGAACGTTGAAGGCTATGCGCGATTGAGCAAATGATGGATCGGGCCAAAGCCGGCGGTTCGGCTTTGGACTTCCGCGTGGTCCGCGGGCCACGATGCCCTCAACATACCTTGGGTAGGCCACACATGGAATACAGTCCCGATGGCAGAGACTCAACAACTGCTCGTAGCCAGGAAAGGCACGGGCGAGTTCCGGCTTGTTCTGACCGCTGAATCCAGCCAGGACATGTGCAGGGTGAAACAAATTAGCAAACGCGCCGTTTAATGCACATGGCTTAAACATGCCAAAGGCGGCGATCAGAAAGGCGCCGACAGCGACCAGACCGCGCACCTTGTCGACCCCTTCAACCCCTCCAATCACAGCCCGTCCCGCGGTGGGGGGGCTCTGCTTAGTCACCACCTGCAACAGGAGGAAGGCCCCACCGACCCCTCTTGCCCTCGATGCGAATACTCCGTGACTGGCAGAAGTGCCCGCTCGTGAAGGCAACCGCCGCCGCACCGGAGTTTAGCACCTTGCACCTTCTGTCTCAGTGTCATCTAGAACCTTAGTCACGCAATTCCCGCCCGCCGCCGCCGCCCCAACCTGCTCTGCTCTGCTCTGCGTCTGTACCGTTCCGTCAAGGTATTAACTTGCCGACACACACACACACACACACCAAAACAACCTACCCTCTCGGCTCTTCCTCTCACCCAACCCAACCGCCCCAACTCCATCCCTCGGCGAAACCAACTCAACTCTGTAAACAACATATTTTGCCGTCCGACAATCATCAATCGCTACAGCAGCCATCCATCGTTAGCAAGGTACTTCCACACCTCAATGCGTCTCTTCCTCAAGTACTCCCGACTCGTCTGCCTTCTTCATTCCCGCATGACGTCGATAGCGCAAGGCTGACCAAGCACCTGGACTCACCAGCAGATCCCGTCATCCTCCGTCCTGTCCCGCGCCGCACCTCACTAGGCACCGACCGATAGCCGCATCCCCGAGACACCAGACACTACCAACAACACCACCACCACCACCCCTCCTTCGCTCGCGCCCGCTACACACGACGCAAACCAGACCTCCGAGTCCGCGTCGCCCATCTCAGCAACACCTCCAACCGGGCGTCCCCGTACGCCTCTCGCAAAATTTTGCCTCGACCCCGGAACCCGCAGCAACCATGGTCGCCAGCCCCGAGACCATCGAGGCCATGACGCCTCCCGGCTACTCCTTCCCCGACCACCGCCTCCGCCTCACCCAGTCCGAACCCGACCGCGAGCCCCTCGTCCTCGTCGCCCCCGGCTCCTACTCCCCCATCACCTTCCTCCACCTGCGCATGGCCGTCATGGCCGCCGACTACGTCCGCTACAACACAAACTACGAGCTCGTCGGCTCCTACCTCTCCCCCGTCTCCGACGCCTACAAGAAGCGCGGCCTCGCCCCCGCCTGCCACCGCCGCCGCATGTGTGAAATCGCGGCCGAACAGACGTCTAAATTCCTGATGGTCGACCCCTGGGAGGCCGAGCAGACGGCCTACGTGCCCACTGCCGTCGTCCTCGACCACTTTGAGCACGAGATCAACGTCAAGCGCGGCGGTTGCAACGGCAAGCGCGTTCGCATCGCAGTCCTCGCCGGTGCCGACCTGATCAACACCATGAGCCAGCCCGGCGTGTGGTCGCCCTCCGACCTGCGTCACATCCTGGGCGATTTCGGCGCATTCGTCCTCGAGCGCGCGGGCGTCAACATTGACGAGGCGCTGACGAACCTGAAGGAGTGGGAGGATCAGATCTACTACATTCCCCAAGTCGTCCCCAACGACGTGTCGAGTACTAAGATCCGTCTGTTGTTGAGGAGGAATATGAGCATTGACTACGTACGTTTCTTCCGTTTCCCCTTCGAAGAAAGATGCATAAACTGACTCATCACAGCTCATCCCCTCCCAAGTTATCGAGTACATTGAGGAGCACGGTCTCTACACAGAAGACGACGCGACAACAAATGAGACCGGCAAGGGCAAGGAGGTAGCCCAATGATGTCACCGAAGAAGAGCACTGGGCGCAATTTGATTCTGTAGAGAAAGAGTCACAGCGAGATATGATCCAAGAGAGAGAGAAAGACAGAAAGACAGCGAACGAGGACAGAGAAAGGGGTGTTGTAAATGGCGTGGATATCAGCGTTTGGATTTAGCATGAATATGTCTCCTCTCGCGGAAGAGACCGAAGAGCGGAGAACGATTAGTTTTCTTGTTGTTTTTTGTATGGGTTTACGGTGCATCGGGCGGGCTGGTTTTCTTTTCCTTATATCGACTACAGGGACATCTCCCAATCCACAATCAGAAGTTTTCTTCGACGGCCTCGTTTGGTTCCGTCACTATACCCTTGGTCCCAATCATCCATTAATGTGACGCGTGACTCATTTGATATGGAACTACCAGGTTCCTCTTTTGAATATTTACGAAAATTCTCGGTCAAGTTCTTTCCAATCCTCTTGTTATACGAGAGAACCTCTCCCGAATCAGCTTCAATGCACCAACAGATATCCTGCCATTCAGCCTCATCTTCAAGGTCACAGAGAGGCTTGCAGGAGATGATTGGGTCCCCTCCATCGTCGCCGACCATTTTGCCGTCAGGTACCCACGGTGCCGTCGACCCGCCATTCGAGACTTCATGTGTCCAATCCGCCTATGAAATCTTCATTGCCTTTGCTGCTTGGGGCAGTGGTACAACGCATCGTCAGCAGGTCGTCGATGTTAAAGTTTCGAAACCGCCGCGTGTTCACACGCCGGCGCGCAACTTTTGCCTTTTCTGTTTCTTTTGCTCTCAGCAGCTAAGAATACTTGCTTCGAACAAATTGGAAAGCTTGCCCTTGCGCTAAAATACAGATGACTAAAGTATCTATGTTGTGGTCATACCAGCTGTTTGCTAACGCGAGAGGAGAGCCAGGACAGAAATCATATGAGATGGGGAAAGAAATCTATCCTTGAATAAGACAAAAACACAAACTTTTAAACTTGCGACCAAGTATGTAATCAGAAACAGAGGGTTTAGATCTACTTCTACTCTCAAGTACCTCTATGGAAGGATGTTGTTCTTCGCTATTTATAACATATAGCTTGATAACGAAATCATCCGAAGTAAACTAACTGGCAAATCGGCAACCGATGCTTTATCGGGGCCTTTGATTAGGATTTGTAACGTTCTGTCGTAACTCACACAACTCGTCTGTTGAATTTCATAGGCAAGGAAGACACGCAGGCCTTGATATGTGTTGATCTTCTGGTCGACAAGAGCTACATTGAGTTAAGCCTCGACTATTAGAGAGTGTCCAGACAATTCGAGTCGATGATGCCTTTCTTTGGCAGTGCCAGTTTATCGACTCGTTGCTTTGTCAAAGGAAATGAGCTGACACTCGAAGAAGCACCAAGATGATACATAAGGGCATCTGATGATATTATGTACGACGGATGGTTGACATCGCCAATTCATAAGCAAATACATGGACCCCGCGAATCGATCGCCGCCGGCCCGGAAAATATGCAACCTCCAAAATCCCCCAATATGATGGCTGCTGGTATGTCCTCCAACGCTGCTTTGGACTTGACCCCAACCCCCAAAACGATTAGCAATGTACACATCCTGACTCCTCAATAATGGCCGAGTCCCTTGAAGGACTCATGACCTTCAATTTACACCAACAGCCGAGTCATACACTAAACGACCCCCGCATGGCACGAACGGTCCCAACAGCCGGTGGTGCTGTCAACTCCAGCTCGCTAGTCTGGTCGCTCCCATGGGCTTTGGAATGACCATATCGATTGCATATGAATCGGTCATGGTGTTCGGTTCTCAGAACCTCGATCCTCCTCCCGCCAAGACCACTGTCGCAGTTGCTGTGGAGTCGCCGGGCTTGCTGCCGGTGTCTCATGTCCGCCCACTCCTCTTTGAAAGTAGACTTGGTAGTCATGAAGAAGATGACAGCATTCCACACGCCTTGAAGCGGTAGAACCGTAGCGCTCGCGACACTCAGGCCGAAGCTGATGTCGTTAGGCTTGATGAGGTTGTAAACCCGGTTGATGGAGCTCGGCGTCCAAGTAACGAAAACCGAAATGGCAAAGATGAAACTCGTCCGTAAGTATGCGAGCTTGACAGGGTCGAGGCTTCGGAGACGAGCCGAGAACTTCTCATTGACGGAATTAACGCAATGGAAGATTGAGCGTCTTGGTTCTGGTGGAGGTGGGCTTGAAGTACATGTCGTTTCGAATTGCGGACTGCTCGGCGGGGCATCATGCTCGTCACTTGTGCGCCATGAGCGCTCGTGTCGAGTTTGCTGATTGGAGGGCAAGTCTGGTGTCATTGCCGATTGAGGGATCGCTGGTGGTGTCCAAGGTCTTGGGGTGGCGGTAGTAATTTGTATCTCCGTCATAGCGGTGCCGTAGAACTCGGTGCGACTTGTGAGATTCTGATGTGTGTCAACGAAAGGCCAATCATTGGGAGTGAGTGACAGTTGAGCTACCTTTTCTGCAGAGTCTCGTTCATCCGAGCACGAGAGGTCTTTGTTGTCTCTAGCCGGGTTGCTGAAGGTCAAGTTTCGGAGTTGGTTGCGTTGATGGAATACATGGTAGCCGACGGCAAAGTAAATGACACAGGAGCCGAAGATGCAGCACCAGATAGGTATGTAGTAGGTGTAAATGCGAAGGACGCTCCATTTGTTGTTGATCCAGCACCAAAGCTGAGCCACGTCAGACATGCCCTTTGATCTCGAGGAACCTGGACTTACTGTGGAATCGCCGTAGATCAAGTCGTCTGGCCCGTCGGGCCTGAGAAGAAGAAGAGAGAGAGCAGGAATCAAAGGAATGCCGAAACAGACAAGACAGTAAACCCAGAGGTGTTTGCGGAATGAAGAAGGGTTTGCGCCGGCGAAGAAAACAAGGAAGACGTTGATGGCCATAGCAAAAGACCACCAAGGATCCGATTGCATGAACCTGTGGAAGTGGGTGTTAGTGGTGACAACGCGAGGGAAATTCGTGAGGGCAAACCAACATTTCAAGCAGGAAACCCTGAAGCTGACACAAGGCGGAGGTTTCGCCGGCACGAAGGCCGTCGTACCCCATTGCACAGGCAACACTTGCACCAACGTTCGCGATTGAAGCCATAAGGATGAAGAGATTGGGGACTGTCCGAAGACGCTTGAAGGCGTAGTAGGTGATGAATATCAAGGTGACGCCGACCAATGACAACGAAGCCCCGACTCTTTCGAGGGCGATGACGATGTCAATTTGCTCTTGGGAGAGGGAATCCGAAGTCGCCCTTGCGACGGGAGCGCCGTGGCTGTCTCCCATACTCGTTGGTCGGCTCAATATGGAGGTTGGGCTTGGACCTTTGATGAGTGTGAGGACGAGTTGACGAGTCGACGAGTCGCCTGTGTGAAATGGTCAGCATGGGAGTCTTTTCTGTCCTCCACGCCAGGACGCATAATGAGCAGAGCGGCAGGCGTACTTGGAACCGGATGCTGGAGGCTGAAATGCAAGCCGGATGGTCGCGATTCGAGGGTCCCTGATGTATGTCGGATAGGGCCGAAACACGAGGGAAAGAAGAAAGTAATGACAGTTGTGGTACAGGAAACACGGGCGGAACAAAGAACTTGGACACTCTGGATGGACAGGCCACGGAGAGGTGTGTTGAAACGAAGCGGCAGGCCTCGATGGCTCGGAGCCCGAGCGAGATGCCGTGTTGCTGAACGGCAGCTTTGTGCGACGATCCACTGGCCACTGCAACGCAAAGTAGGGAGAAGCGTGAGTCGGAGCGCGCTGTTGATCTTTGGCTTCGAGCTGGTCGAGGAACGAGCGGTCGAAATAAGATCGACAGGCGGTAGGCGAGGTCGTGTATTAATCTCAGGCAGCCCAGGCTGGTAGCCACATGGGATCGAGCAGCTGCATGACAGACCGTGGCGCTGGAGAGAGAGGCCAAGTACGGCGCGGTTACACGGCCGAGAAGGTGTGAAGCAGACGTTGCATGGGTCGTGATGGTGGAGGAGGGTTCGTCTGGATTATGGTGGTGGTGGTGGTGGTGGTGGAGGAGGAGGACGTGAAGGAGAAGTAGAAAGACGGTTGCGAGAAAGTACAGGAGGCTGCAAGCAGATGAAGCCGGCAAGGAAGAAGAGGAAGGTGCCAGGGCTTCGGACATTCAAGAGCAGTGCACTTTCTGAATTGGGTACTGGCGTTGGCAACAATATGGGGTTGAAAATGGTAAAGTCTAGATTTTAACACGAGGAGGCAACGGCCGAATGATGCTTGCTATGTAAATGGGAGGAAGCAGCTGGCCAGGGGTAGGCACCAGGAGGCAATGGCCAAGAGATGAAGTCGAAATAGGACACTGTGGACCAGGAGGGAAGGAGCGGGCAGGTGGACTCGTGGAGACGGGACGAGGGGAGGCAGGCGGTGCCATGGGATGGGGAAGGAGAGGGGCGGAGAGGCGCAACTGCCAGCTCAAGATGGTAAGGCTGTGTGCGAATATCCCGGGGAGGGAAGGAAGGAAGGAAGGAAGGAAGGACGGTGGTTGTTGCTCGAGTCTCGGACTCGAGGGAAAGACCTGGTGGACCGCGACTGTCACAGGCCGGGAAGGAAGGACGAAGGGGGGGGAAAGGTCCTTGGAAAAGGCGGCACAGCAGTCACGGAGGAGAAGCAATGCTGGACAAGGCAAAGAAAGGCAAGGTATCTCAAGCATCACAGCCGCACTGTAAGGCGAGTCTGGTCAGATATTTGCGTTGTTGCATCTGCAGATCTCATGCATGGCCTGTCTGGGGGCGCTCGGCAGGGCTGGGCGACAGTTGTTGGCTGGCCCTTGGCCCTTGGCCCTTGGATGAGCAGAATGAACAAACAAACACTGTGGCTGACTGAAGGGAAATGGCTGTGGAACTGCACTCGATAAAAATAAAGCATGGGCAAGGTATTCCCCATTGACAGTGTGTAATAGATCATAGAAGGTAGCCAAATTCCTCCATGTCGATCGGGACGAGATGAATATCCCCATCAGACAAGCAACAGAGCATCAGACGGAGACGTCGCACTTCGTCTGATTGCTGACGGGGCCATCCCCGTTTCCTCGGATGACGATGATGACAGCGGGGGCCGTGAAGGCGGGAGGCAGGAACCGGGCAATATCTTCCGCACTTTGGGGAAGGACGGGACCTGAGGTGAGGAGGAGATGGAGGAGGTGTTACTTCCACATGAAGTCTGGGGTGGGGGTCAAAGAAGCGTCCGTCGTGGAAGGAGCAATTGGATGCAACCGACACTTGGCTAAGAGGGACGCGACTGCAGGAGCTGGAAGCCAAAGGGCAGGGCAGGGCAGGGGCGTCACACAACAAGTGGAAGCTGCTCCGTTTGGCCTGCCTCTTGCCTCGATCGTTCGGTATGCCTCCAGCTTTGCCTTTCTACGGACTGCTTCACTTGAAGCGCCACAATGCTGGAGGTGAGGTGAGGTGTGGTGTGCCTCCAAGACCATCATCCAATGAACAGTTAGCGCTGACCGCCAATTCCAAGACTTCCCTCTCTCTCCGGTCATCATCATGGCTGAAGTATTGCCGCATGCCTGATGCTCCTTTCCATCTTGCATCCCAACGACGCAACCCGCCGCTTTGTCGGTCAGATTGAAGGTGTAAGGCCGACACGAGGACCTCCAAGACGGATGGAGCAGCAAAAATGCGAAGAGGATTCGACCCATCGTCAACGATCGACCCACCCCGATAATCGAGATGCAGACGACGTGGACCCTGGAGCAAAAGAGACATGCACCGATCGACCCCCTACCTAGCGGTGTCGACATCCCCAGGACCCCAGAATCCCCGTCTCCTTGTCTCGTCAGCTGTCGCGGCTGCCAAGCACCCAAGTCTCCTGCGAAATGAGAACTGAGAGCCTGACAGATGCGATGCACCCCACTACCGTTGCAAGCCTCCAACGTGGTGGCTAAGGCTGCATTGTCTTGCCTTGCTTGTACTGTGCACCGAGTGGGACGGCGTGGAGATGAAGGATGTGATGGACCGGGGCGGGAAACGACTATCCACTGCCCAACAAAAGACAACATCAGCAAACTGCCTGCCGCCACCAAGCCGCGGCGACAGCATCTGATCCGCGGAGAATCTGGAGAAAAGCAAGAAGGCGGCACAGCGGTACCAGCAAACACATAGCGAGCACTCCCAACAGGCCCAGCGCCAAATCCGTAATGCTGCTTGTCACGCTGCATCTACGAATCATGTTCGTCCTTTTCGTTGTTTGCCCCCTCCAGCGACTCCAATACCATTTTTGCCAGCTCAAAATTCAAACGCCAAAAAAGAAGAAGCCGATACCGTACCAACTGAATCCTCGGGAAGTCTCCAAACGATTCCCAGAACCGCAGAAAATGCCCCCTTGGCTGTCGGGTATCATCGAATCATTTCGTCGTCAACAGACTGACAGTTCCGTGTCTCGTTCTTGCCCTCGGGCCAATTTCAAAGTCATTTCTCGGAAACACTATGTCGTGGCACGCATACGAGGAGTGAGCCAATCGACGCAGCGCACCGTGAGCTTTGCGAATGCAAGCAGCCTAGGTGCAGCTCGTCAGGCCGGCCAATAAGGAGTACCTATGAATTCGGCCGTAAAAATTTGTGAAGCAAGCAGGGTTATCACATCGAGACGAGCAAGCCCTGACGCCTCGGTTTTAGAACAAGGGAAAAAGCTGCTTTGATCGAGGCATTCGCGCCTTGCAGAGCTGCAATCGGTCTGAAGAAGAAATCGGACTCGATATCAAGTTCATTGTCGGATGCCGTGCCGAAGCAAACACCAGGATCACTCACGACAAGACCTTGTCTTGTTTTGGATCCGAGATTCCAAAAGTCCACGAATACCCATTCAAAGATCACCATGCAGGCAAGCAAACACCATCGTCCACGTCTTTAATCAACGACCCACCAATCATCGTAATCGGAGTTGTCAGTCCCTTGGACGTTGAACAAGGTCTCCCCAGATCCAGAATCAATCTCACGCCATATCCCCAATTCCATCGAACGGGCCACCGTGCGGTGTTTGCTGTCAGGGGGTTACGGCCGCAACTCGACCAACAGTTCCCTCAACTGTTGCCTATTTCGTCGCAACCAATGTGTGCTCATCTCGGTCTGTCACATTACTTGATCACATCTTTCCTCTTTCCACCACGTTGTTTGCACCGGGCTGCAGCCGACCAACTCAAGAACAGCATCCTAGCAGAAGCCACTGCCAACGATGCGCATTCAAGGAGCCGAGTATCTCTCAGTGTCAATCAACACCTGGCACCGTTTACCAGGTCTTAGTCGGTTAGCAAGTTAAGCAATGGTGAGATAATGAGTGATTCCAGATTACTGGAGAAAAATCGGCAATTCACAGTCCTTGATCTCTGATGAGAAACAGCTTGTCTATTCAACTATGATCGAGTGAAAGATTTGCTGGAACCATTCGTCAAAATCCTCAGAGGGATTCATAGGCAAGGCAAAGTGATCCTCCGCAACATCAAACTGCCCAAAACTAGCCGCCGTAGAATCAAGCACAAACCAATCCGTCTTGAATCTAGCCGCGATCTCCTCAAAGTTGATCGCGTCAGGCCGCGCAGCAAGCGTTCGGTCCGAGAACGACTCCATGCCTCCTACCTCGGAAAAGATAGCATCGATCAGCACCACCCCGCGGTGCGCTAGAACATCGTTCGTCGTCCGGCCCAGGAGATGCTCTCGCGCATCGCGGATGGCGTCGAGGTAACCCTCCTGCCGGGCGTCTCGTTCCTTGCTCTGATCGCAGATGACCTCGAAGAAGAGGATGATGGCGGCGGTGATGCTGAATGCGACGTTTTTCCAGAGAGAGACTTCGCCTGACTCCACGATGTTTTTGTGTTCGCGGAGGATGCTTACTGCGGCTGCGACGCAGGTGCGGCGCGTGTGGACGTACGAGTCTGATTGGAATGAGAGGAAGAGGAATGGCCTGTGTATCATGACAAGCTTTATTGTATTTTGATTAGCCTCCGGTTCAATAACTTTTGGAAGATTTGATGATCCAAACCTTTTCGGCTGCCGTTATGGCAAGACTCTGCCGCGCAACGCCAAGCCATGCGCACTCGCCTTCCAGTACCTCGTTTTTCTGAAGAAGGAAACGCGGTATCGATTGCACCTGCTCCCTCGTCTTCTGGTCCATCCTCAGGACGTGGGCATACTGCTCCCTCGCCGGCTTCTGCGCCCTCAACGGCCCCATGCCGTCCGCGAGCTCCGGCATCAGCCGCGCGATACCGCCCAACACACGAGTATACGTGCTCACCGTCAGCGTCGTCTCCGGCGCATCCACCAAGTCTACGTCGTTGGCGTTCCTGGGGAGGGAGGTCGAGTATTGGGCGGGGTTGATGCCATACGAGTCGGTGAAGGGGATCGCGAAGTGGTCTTGGATGACCATCTGAAGCCACACCCTGCGCCCGACCTCTCTCTGCAGGGTATCTTCCCATATCTCCTCTAGTGTCTGCAAGTCGAGATTGCTGTCGTCTGTGATCTTGTGTATGCCCAAGCACTCGGCCATCCGGATCGCAGCGCTGAAAAGGGTGGCGTTCAGCTGGCTAAGGCCCAGATTGTGAGCCACTTCAGTCGATATCACAATGGCCTGCACAGAGTAGAGCGACACGTTCTGAAGGAAGTACGCCTGGTAGAGCGTGTCGACCATGAAGTTGAACAACTCCAGCGGCGAACACCCCGGCAGGGCGAGCGGGAACGCGTCGCGGTGCTTCCAGCTGTTCTGCCAGCTCAGCAGCGACGCGGCGAGCACCGAGCTGTAGAGAGCGAGCCACGTCGGCTGGTCGTACGCGCCGGTGTCCCAGAAGGTGGTGCACTGCCGCAGGAAGGTTGGGCAGTGCAGGGAGTTATGGTGCCATGCGATGTGCTCCAGGTGGAATGTGATTAGAACCTCGGCGGTGCTTCGCTCGGGGAGGAGAGCGAGGGATGGGACGGGGTAGGTGGGTGATCTGAACAGAGATGTGGAGGATGTGCTGGTGAGATTCCGCCTTTGGTGGCAAGTACAGTGTAAGTGAGGATAACAGTTTCCGTAGCCTCTACCTCAGGCCATATGCTCCAACGCAGTCACTGTGAGCGAGCCGCGGGCTCTAGAATGGGAGGTCGCTGCGTCCTCCTGCCCTGAGTCGTCATCTCGGGCAGCAATCCCAGACTCGACGAGATTTGCTGTTGTCTGGGAAGTACTCGCGCTGGCCTGTCCCGGACTAGATCGTAGAGCTTCAAGTCTAGACGCCACCAGATCAGCTGCTCTTCTCACCGAAGCGGCGGGGTCGGCGGTGGTGCTCTGAAGAGTATTGCGTAGAGTCTCGAGGAACCCAATCTCGGCACCGTGGCGAACTGCGTCGCGCTTTAGATGGATGACTTCGCGCTCGCAGTGAAGTCCGAGTCGGTTGCATCTCGCGCAGGGGATTTCTTTGTTGCACTTTCTCTTCTTTCTTGTACACTCTGTTGAGTTGGTCAGCACTATGGTATCAAGTGAGGGTCTGCAGGGGTTCGGGGGTCAAACTGGAGGGTAAGAAACTGACCGCGACACGCAAGAGATTGACGCTGCGACAAGCGCGCTGACATTATTTGAGATTCAACCAGCAGTGGATAAGTATAAAATGATAGGGCTGTCTTGCTTTTGGTGCACGAGTTACTGATTACTAGATTGGTTTCGGCAGAGTGAAGTCTGAGAAGTTTGGGGAACTCAGATATGCTTAGCTGAAAAGAACTAATCTCGATTACGAAGTCGAGCTAGTCCTTTTCGCTAAACAGACAAGAAAGAATTAGAAACGATTTGCTGGATTCATTGAAGAGTAATCTTTTTATGCTAAATAGTATTCGAGGAGTGTATTGCATTGACTAATTAATATGGTGATGTGGTGGGCGCGTACGCGTGTTGATGTGTTTGATCTTAATCTTAACCGTAAACGTTGCGAACTTCCTACGTCTATTGGGGATGCTCGCATTTTGAACACAGGAACTGGAGATTCTGAAGAGGTCTAATTTCAACAAAAAAATATATCATGTTGTGATTCACATTCGGACTACTAGTACATATCGCCATCCTGTCGCTCACGCCGCTTTAGCGAACCCAGTCTCAACAACCCCCGACACTTTCCTAAACGGCTGCGGCGCCGTGCCGCTCGTCATCGTACATTGCCACATCAGCCTCTTCTTCTCCTCATCTTCCTTATACTGCGCCAGCTGCCCGGTGATGCTGTGCATTACGCCGCGGTTGTGGAACATCACAACGTCGCCCTCCTTCCACCGGTGCGCGTAGATGTTCTCCGCCGCCCAGATCCGCTTCTGGAAGCCGTAGACGATCTCGCGGACCTTGGCGACGTCGTCTACGACTGAGACCACCGCGCCGGTCGCCGGGTCCCGGGTGGTCAGCTTAAAGACGCAGCAGCCGTGGACCTGGAGGAAGGGGCGGTCGGGGTCCAGGGGCTTGCGCCAGACCATCTGAGGATTTTGTTAGGACCAGTACGGGGAGAAGAATCGGGATGGATGGAACTTACAGGATGTTCGGCCACGTTTTCCCAAGACCATTCGGAGAGCTGCTCGATGGGTACTTCTTTGCCCATTGTGGGAATCGACAGGCCGTCTTCTGTCGCCTTGCATTGTTTTATGTACTCATAGGCCTGAGGAGCATATGTTACGGTCGTGTTGACAGCGAATTCTTGCTCGGCCGGGGTGAGCAATTGAAATGCCCGCGCGCCGGAGAAAACTTGCGGGAAAAGTCAATTAAGCGTTTTCGTAGCACGGAATTGAAGATACCATGACTTACAGGCTGTTGATCCAGCAGCGATACTCTTTTATTTGCCATCTGGGAACTTGAGTTTCTGATCAGGCAAGTTCGGCACCTTGACTGCATGGAGGACCGTGACTTCTCCGGGCAAACGCTGATAGAAGGGAGTGTCCATGTGCCATCGGTACGGACGGGTGTATCCATCGTTCAGCTCCTGCTCTGACAGAGGCTTCTCGTGGAACAAAGTATGGTCCTAGTTTGGTTTTATTAGTCCAAATGGTCTATAGCCTGGGCTAGGGCCATACCAGGTGAATAACCTCCAACTCTTCAACCCCTTCGTAGTTCTGGAACTTGCCACTCCCAATAATGCCGACCTGCGGCGCTCTGGGAATTCTCCCCGCCTTGTATGCCGAGAGGATATTCCTCGGGTCACTGACGGCCTTCTCGCCAGCGGAGTGGATATCAGTTGCAGTCGGATCGAATATCTTGGTCAACTTGGGCAGAGTCTCCGGCGCGATTCCCTTCTGGTTCCTGATGACGACAACTTGGTTCTCGAACAGCGCTTTCCTGAAGGTGGCAACGTCTTCCTCCGACAAGGCGTCTTTGTCCAGGACGTTCATTGGTGATGGGAGGTGGACTTCGGCGCCGATGAGAGAAGACTGGCGAAGAGAGGTCGGGAGCTCTGTAAAGGAGAGGCCCTGAGATGAAGAGTTGAGACTGCCCATTGTGAAGTTTTATATTGGAAATACGGAAGTAACAAGGTCAAATTGGCTGAATTGTTGAGTTGATGAGCCTTGTGCTACATTTGGTGGCTGGATGAACTCATAGCCAACCGCTCTCGCCGTGGCATCGACGACGTTAACCTTTCTCCCAGTTCGGAGCGGGTGAGTTGGACTCACTCGTCCGCACCTCGAGCTTTGTGCTTCTCCTGTCGTGTAACACGCAGTGACGCGTAGTAATCGGATTGCTGCCGCTTCTCATTGGGCAAGCGACGAGGGGCATGCGGGCGAGTTCTCCATCTCACCCGCACTTCATAGGAACAGCCCAAACACTGTTCCCGTCGATTATCTCCGGGCGGACAGAGGTGCGGGCCAGCTGGTGCAACTCACCCGCACTACCCAGATGCACCATACTGCATGAACGTTTGCGCCTGGATATATATACAGCAATACGACGCAAACAATTTACTAAGTAGCCATTCTGAATCTTTCGATTACAAACTGTATACTGTTCATCTCTTTTCATCATGGCAGCCGTCGAGTACCAGGTCTCAGCGCTTCCAAAGCCGTTTGAGCAATCCGCAGTCGACTTCGGCGCCGAGCTTTCTGGGATTGACCTTGAACACATTGACGGTAATACACCCAGCCATAAGTTCAGCATCCAAGCTAATTACAACAAAACGTAGATGAAAGCTTCAAAGTCATCAAAGTAGCCCTACACCAGTAATGTCGTCATGATCAAAAACCAGCACAACCTCTCCCCAAAAGCCCAATACGAACTCACCCGCCGCTTCGATCCGGACGCCAGCACTTACAGCCACGGCGCCCGCATCGACAAGCGCAGCGTCCTCCACAAAGACCTCACGACGCTGCCATCCCAGCCGCAGGTGCAGGTCATCGGCCACGGCGCCGTCGCCGCGTTCGAGGGGCTCACGGACCTGAAGCTCACCCATCCGCACCACAGGACGTTCCACAAGCACCCGGTGCCGGAGTCCGAGGACCATGACTTTACGCACTTTTACAGGTGGCATATTGACTCGGCTATGTACGATCTGGACCCGCCGCTCGTGACGTCGCTTTTTGCATGTAAGGTGCCCAAGGGCCGGCGGCAGATCTGTCGGTACGATGACGGGACCGGGGACGAGCTCGAGGTGCCTTTGGGAACGACGGCTTTCATCAGTGGATACCGCATGTTTGAATTGCTGTCGGAGGAGGATCAGGAACTCGTCAAGACCAGCTTCGTCGAGTATGGCCCGCATCCGTACATCTGGATGAGCAAGGCCAAGGCGAGGTTAAATGGGCTTGGCCTCTTTTCGGAAGGCCTGGAGCTATCCGAAGGCCAGCTGCCTGAGATTGATCAGGAGAAGATTCGAACGTATCCGACGGCGTGGAAGAACACGGTGACAGAGAAGTATGCCATGATGGTATACCCGACGCCTGCGCGAAGGATCCATCTCAATGACGGGACAGTGATGGAGGACTTGAAAGAGGTGCGGGAGTTGATTTACAGGCTGCAGAGACCGGCTATCAGCCCGCAGTATGTGTATCCCCATGATTGGGAGGAGGGCGATCTCGTTCTCTTCAACAACCACGGTGTTATGCATTCCATTGTGGGAGCTTTTGCGGAGAACGAGGTCCGTCTCTTTAGACAGTGTAACATGGCAACCAGTAGGCCACCTCAAGGGCCAGATCGCTAGGAATTAAATTGACGAGAATTGCATTCCAAATCTCTACGCATTCTGAGGCTGTTTTTCAAGGTTCTCCTGTCTGTAGTTTAAAGGTTGAAATTCAGCATTGTCCTATGAACGTGGTATCTTCGAATTCTTCCCTGGCCCTGCCAAAGGCTCTCATCATGCTTCCCGTTATCAGCTAGTACGCCCTTGTCCAGAAATAGGCGTTACCAATTTCCAATTTCCCTTTGCCATCCAGAGTTTATTTACGCATCGACCAACGGGGCATTCATCCGCTCCGTGTCGGCCGTGCCTGTGCCTGTGCCTCAGAGATTGGCCGCCTCGACTCCCAGGCCAAACCCTGCTTCAGACGTCAACTCCAACATCCTCTCCGCAACCCAGCGCCCGTTATGAGGACCCGCAAAGCATGACGTGCGGACCAGCACCATGGGCCAGAACATCGTCATCGTGCGGTACGGAAGTCCGTCCGCCGGCGCTTCCTTTCCGTCTAGTCCGAACACTGCGCGGATGTCGTCGAGGACCTCTTCGACAACCGCGACACCGTCCGACCAGCTCGGCATTTTCCCTACCTCCGCATCGATCTTGACCGTGGCCTCCTTCAAAATGTCTTTTAAATCAAGGATTCTTTCTAACATGAAGATTTTCAGGGATCGGTAGTGACTCCGTGCAAGTGCGACTGAAACATCGCTTGATAGGGTGAAGAGGCCGTTGAAAACCCGCTGTGGTTGTCCTGAAAATGAAGAGGCACCCGAAAAGCCGAGCAGAGTCACGGCAGCCTCGAGGTCATTGCTTAAGCTGATGCCACTCTTCACCAGTTCCGTCAAGTCCTCAGCTGGCTCGGCAGTGAGTTTTGACACATCCCCTTGCACCTGCATTTTGAAGTCGAATGCCTTCTTGAAGTCGACTACCTGGCGAACAAGAGGCTCTAAAATAGGGCCCTTGCCCCATGGCGTGTCGACTTCTTCCAGCACTGACCAAATTCCAGTGAGGTGCTCTCGTTGAATAAACATCTCCATTAACTATCTCACTGTTAGTAGGCGTGGTTTCAGCCGGAGCGCGCCGTCTTACAGCAGCATGACAGAAGAACATAAAGCAGCCTCTGTCAACTTCATTCGTGAGTCCCTGCTCAGCACGGAACTTGAACAGTTGCAAGCCTCCGGTGCCGTGCGGGAACACATTGTTCTCGAGATCAATGGCTTTTGGGCTTCGTTTGCCAACAATGACCTATGTTTTCTTAGCTGTGAAGATTCCCAAAAACAAAAGTGTCGCAGATTGTTTCTCAATGGACTTGCAAACAGCTTCCCGCCTTTAAAGAGAATGCCGCAACTTACCTCGAACATCCCGAAAAGAAACATTGTTACCAGGTTGCCGTCATCCCTAGCTCTCACAGGATCTCGCAACGCCTGGTTCAATGTCCCAATCGCTTTTCCGTAGTGTTGCCGCGCCTCCAGCATCAGACCAGGCTGATGCAGCTGGCGTGCGGCGCTAGCTAGTGCCACCGCATGTGTGGCATGTCGAGTATGGCTGGCCTCGGAGAGGTCGCTCTTGTAGTGGTCGGGGAGCTGGTTGAAGAAGACGATGCTGGCGGTCGTCGCGTAGTTCGCGTAGAACCGGCTCAGCGTGTACACTTCGGGGCCGATCTGGATCGTCCGGGGAAGCACGACTTCCGGCTCTGATTCATCGTCTGGCGTGATCAGCCCGTGCTGCTGCCGGACGAGCTCAAGCGGTGTATTAGTCGGTGTTCCGCATCTGGGGCTACCGCCGCCGATTCGCGGTATCGCGGGGGTCTGTTGGCGATGCTTCCACCTCGAGGCCCATGATGTCGGGTATCCAGGCGACTTTCGGCGTTGAGAGACGGAAAACAATGCGCGTCGCGACTTTTGCGTGTCGCGCTGTTGTAACTCGATCAGTGAAATGTACCCCAAAAGGGGGGAAACAAAGGAAGACTGGCTACCTTTCCACGCTTCTCATCAGCACGCGCCTGGCCTTGAATTGGCCCGGCCAGACTGGCCATAACGGCTAAGTCGTGTCAATACTGCAAAGATACGAGGCCGACATTCGAGCGACGCTACACTCATCACCCTCCTCTACAGACACCGGAATCATTGACAGGAGGCAGCTCCGAGAGCTATGTATTGTAGGAGCATACCCCTTCCCCCACTGCAGAAACTTGGAGAATGGCTAGTGGTGCATGGGCTAATCCCAGTTCAGGATCCTCGAAGCTCCCCCAAGACGGCATGTTCCATGTTGTGCGCGACGAGCTAAGCTAGGGATGTTAGGCGCATGCGGCAACCCCACGGCAAGGCAAGGCAAAGAGAACCTCGGTGCTCGAAAGCTAGGACAAAGCTTAAATGACCGAACGTCCTTCCGGTGGCGGCAGAGAGTGAGACGTCACTTGGACCTTTTCGACAGCGACCGCGTGAACTCTAAAACGCGAGCACTGTCGTCGGCGCAGGTGGTCGTCTATGTAGTGCGGCATATGTCTGTTGAGCGCGCGCGTATTCGGTCCCAACTACAGCGAGATGGCTGAAATTATTTCCATTTAATTTCATCTACTCAGTATTGTTGGGAACACAATTCTACGAGAGACATACGTCGCACACGGAACATCCCCCGAGGCTGAGACCTGCACAAATCGTTTAAGCTACTAGCTAACATGAAGACTATTCGTCCCGCTTCATCGACAAGCCAAACACAACAACTGGAAGCGCCCAAACTAGTCCGAAGACGAGCGACGTTCGCGCTGAGTTTGCGATTGAAACTCGCGGCCCAGACTCGGACATGAGGCTTAACTCGCACAGACGACACCATAAATTCTGCCCGTCCTTTCAGGGTTCGAGCATGTCGCGCCCATCACATTTCTGCTCCCCCTCTTGGCCCGTGTTCTCCGGCACTCACTGCGTGGCGCTGGACCCTGAAGATCTGCCGCCAACCCACGCAGCTGCTGCATGGCCCCCAACAATGCCTGCCTTCGGCCGTTGGATGTCTGCGTGGCCACTGACAGGACGGACGTAAACCCCAACCCCGCGTCCATTGTCGTCGGTTGCCACGGAGGAGGGGGCCGGGGGGCGTGCGGACCGCCGCAGCACGGAACGGTTTATGTCTTGTCTTCAGTTGACTGTGATAGCAGGTCTTGGCAGATACTCAAACCCGTCCTGTCGTTGGCGGGTAGGGCTATCTATGCTTTGGATCACACTAATCGCCAACCTTTTGATATCATATGAACCGGGAAGCCTAGATGCGCTCCAATGCATGGGATAATTCAGGATAGAGGATGAAGGTTAGGCAGGTAGCTTACATCCAGCCTCGACACATGCTAAATTCATGGATGAACAACTACCTGATTCCTCCTTCACCTGCAAACCATCGAGATCTACTGGCTTGCCGCACTCTTTTCATCCCAGCTGGGATTTGGCTCGTCTGCCTTATTGATAAACCTGTCGTTAAACCTCGAACACGACTCCTGCCGTGCTGCGTCTCTCGCGTCACTGACGCCTTTTCGTCACCTCCACCACGATCGCATGCGCCGTACCCTTATGGGCCTGACGTCAGGGAGCCCCTCACGCCCCGAGCTCTGGTGGGGGAAGATAGATGCCGTTGCATCAGGAGGGGGGTAACGAGGAAGAGCTTGGATCCGACGACGAACCGGTTACCACAACTATCGCCGACTCTCCAGGCCTCACCCTCGTCGCCCCCAAGAAAGCTCAGACGCCCCAAGACCTCAGGCGCGGCACGGAAGAAGGCGGACGGCACTCTTCAAACTTCACGACGGCATTTCGGACGGCACCCATACCGTCGGTCTCGCCCAACGCCACACTACACTTGCCGCCGCCGCATACAGAGCCAGTACCAAGGCCAAGACCACCCTGCGAGACGCGCCCTTCAATGGCCGACGTATACGATACGAAGGCAAGGCATGGCTCCTGCACCGCCGCCCGGCGCCTTGCCGTTGATCTTCATTGCCGCACCTTGCCGCGCTCCTCGGCCCCTCCCCCTCATCCCTCCACCTCGCCTCTGCCTCACCCCAAACGCCGTCGCCGTCGCCGACGGCACAGACCAGACAGATTGCGGGGTGAAGGAACACACACTGGTGAAGCTGGCAATCGACGCCTTGCTCGTCCGTTGCCGAACCTGCTGCGATGAACGGCCATCGCATGACGAACCTTATCGCACACGCCAATGCCTGTCAACATGTCAGCTCCGTCGGCGTTTAGTTTCTGTTCCCTTGAGGCACCCCCCGGCAAATGGCAGATGAGCATCCTGCGCTCGGCACAGTCGGGTGCGCTCTCGCCCCCGTGAAACTCCAATGCCGTCCGCTGCACTGCGGCGGATGGACGCCAACCCGCCGGCCGTCCGTCGCGGCGGCGTTCGTCGGCGCTGCGGACAGGGCTGAAGGCTATCGTGGCCTTGGCCTTCCCACCACCACCCCAGCCCCCAGGGGGTCTCTTTCATTCATCCGATCTCCCGAGGGCCTCGGGTGTCTCTTCTTTCTGAGGGACATCTCAACTGCCGTGCTAACTTTATCAAACACACTCACGACTCTTGAATGCATCACAGCCTGCCAGCCTCAGCATCAAGAGATGCATTGCCGTTGGATCGATCCGCGCTTTACTTTGAGGCAACGAATCAATCACTTAAGGTTAAATGAATCAACAAAGAAACAGGGCCGAACTGCTACATGTACCTTCTGTAACAATCTTCCTCTGCCGCTGCCGGCACATGTTCGTCCCTGGCCTCAACACCATTACAATCATCACCACCACCACACACCACACACTGGCCGGCCGCACCACGGCGGGATGTTGTCCACCGGGTGTGGGACCCCTTACGCGGCACTCTTCACCTTCTGCAACACCCCAATCTTCTCCAACCAAGCCTCCAACGTCGCATTAAACTCCTCGCTCTTCAGCTGATGAAACCAGTGCCCCCAGCCCTCCATCAGCACGATCTCGTCCAGCGCCTCGTCGCCCTTGGGCATGTGCGTCCGGTCCGTCTCGACGTACCAGTCCACGCTGCCGACCGTCAGGCGCGGACACTTCAGCCGGCCGGCGTTCGCCGCGACGCTCGCCTCGCGGCGCCCCGGCGAGTCGCCCGCGTCGCCCCAGCCGCCCCAGCACAACCCGAACGCCACCTCGTCGTCGAGCTGCTGCATCCGGCGCAGGTGCCACGTGCGCTGCCACGCCGGGCACGCAGGCGAGTACATGGTCTTGTCGAAGTGGTCCACCAGCATAGGCACGATGTTTTCCGGTGAGTCGAAGAACATGCTGTCGTGCGGGGAGCGAGGGTACGCGTGGATCGGGTCGAGGCCCACGCACGCGACGACGGTGCCGGGCAGCGCCGTCGCGATGAAGTAGCCCGCCGCGTCGCCGAGGGAGTGCGACATCACGATGAGGTCCTTTGTGACGTTGAGGTGCGCCAGCAGGGCGATGGCGTCGAGGGCCGTGGACTGTGGGTAGTAATCGATGACGGCCGGGTCCGCGGAGCCGTCGGGGCCGGGCCAGGAGCCGGGTGGTTGGCGGTGCGGGGATGTTGGAGGCGGGGCGGCGGAGCGGCCCTGTCCGCGGGGGTCGATGGAAATGACGCGGAGGTTGTGGGCGAGGAGGAAGGGCACTTGCCAGGACCAGTCGTGCATGTCGCACGAGAGGCCCGGGACGAGGAGGACCGTGGCGGGTGGGTTCTCCTTGGGCCCCTGATCGAGGTAGAAGATGGGCACGGAGGGATTGCGGGAGAAGAAAGGCATCTTGGCGGTTGTGGTGCGGTGGTTGGGCGAAAGGTGAGAGAGAGCATTTGGGACGCACAACGTGAAGGACGTCCCTTTTTAACGACGATCTGATTGACGGGTCGATATTCGTCTTGGGAATAGTGCATTGGGGCGTAAGTAGCATCGTTTCAGAGACATGCAGGTTCTACAGCGGCTTACCCTCTCAACGGAAAAGTTGAGATAATCCCGGGGATTATGCACAGCTGGATGAATCCCGAATCGTGATTCCGATAGCCAAGACCCCGAAATTTCGAGCCTCGGCATGGAAAAGTAATGCCGGCTAGGGCGGGAATCGATGCTGCCCGTAGGCACCTATCATAGACCAACATCTCGTACGAGTTTCCCTTTCAACGCTTTGATTCCATGCTTTTCGTCCCTCGGGTCCCGGCGTCGTACAGATGCGTGATCCACAAATAGCGGGAGGTAGGAAGGACACCGGTGATCCGGCCGGGGGAGAACCATCTGACGTAAGACCTAAGCTGCGCCAAGAATCCCTTCAGCAAGAGAGAGATCTCGGTTCGATGTGGAACTGTGCATGCAGCATAGGCGAGATCCGGTTTACGAGCCCCCTTTCTCGGACTCTAATTCGCTCAGCGCCGGAGTCATATACGATCAATGGCAGCGCTATAAAGAGAAGGAGTGCCGCTGCAAAGTTAACCCAGTGTCATTTTCAGCGAGACATTTAGGGAGAGAACGCTGCTATATCCTGTGGGAATATATTCCACTTCAGTGTCATCGTCGCTGTTATTGTTGTCGTTGCTGCTACCACTGTCGTTGTCGTCGTTGTCGTCGTCTTGAGTCGTCGTCTTGAGTCGTCGTCTTGAGTCGTCGTCTTGAGCCACTGTTAGTTGCCGCCCTTAGCTGTCGTCCCTAGTTTTCATCGCTGCTATTTTCGTCGTTCCTGGTGTCATCGTGGTCGTTGCTGATGTCGTCGCTCCTGTTGTCGTTATCAGTCCTATCGTCGTTGTCGCTATGAGTATTATTATTACTCCTTCTACTACCATATTCAACGGGGGTAATTAACTACACAGCAGATATAGCCCCACAGATACAGGACATTAGGCGGTCTCATTACAGACAGCACTGCTAAATGTTCAAATAACTTCCGCCGGGGTTCTCTAATATTGGATAACGGACGCCGGTGATGGATCCACCTTCGGCACGGACTTTGAACTTGGCATGGAGCCGGTTCTGTCAGCTTGAGTCGATTGAGATGATGACGAAGAGGACGACAACGGGGTACACATATGTGTGGTGGACACTGCCTGGCTAGCAAGACGCTCTCCATAAGCCGTTCAGTAAGTGCGTCGACACTAAGACCTTTTCCCAGGCCTGAACGTTGCCTGCCCACCGGTCAGAGTGACTACCGTCAAGTTGCATTCACTTGCCGCGTACTAGGGTAGCAACGCTATCTTCCACGAAGTATCGAGGTTCGCTTTAGAGCACGCATAAGCAATCAAGAAGTAGTGATTCCCAAGTCAGAGTGACATAAATATTCTTTGTCGCAATGTACAACTGTCAACTTGAATTTGTTGCAGATACTGCAACGGTGGTCGGCGATTTCGGCCCACCTCACTTTATGCATCGAGCCAACCCGCCGAGATTAGCCAACGAGCTCTCTACACTCTAGGCGCAGGGCTGAGCCACCGGAAGGTATGATTGAATACCATCGAATACAGGCGGCAACATGAAGAACCATGAGACTTGGAGGTGATTGATGAAGATGTGTGATCGAAATGTGATGCCTAGGGGTCCTCCCAGGCAGCAGCTCATGGGTGGTACCGGGGTAGCAGGTCCACCATTACGCTAATTCATTGGCTGAAGAGACGATTGTCTCCATCACGTGCGGGCCATCATGTCAACACACGGGTCAAATCGCCGGATGGGGACGTAGCCGCGATCAGCCGCAGGCGCAGGCTGCCAACAACCAAAGTCCCTTTCACTCTTTATCATCACCCAACGGAACCGCGGTCAGTCTGCATGTTACCGAGAACCCTGAGCCAACTTACATCGCAAATAGCGTGGTGTGCGACAACCAGAAAATCCGAGTCACAATAGCCCGACATGAGCAAAACCAACGCGCTCGTAATGAGCTTCGCTCTGGAGCACAGGCCGCGACTCACAAGAACCAGCAAGCCAAAGTCGCGGAATGGGTGTACTACTTGCAGGTATCTCATCTTCCTCCCGTTACACCAGTGCGTCAACTTTCACAGCGTGTACTAAGTTTTTCAACTCCTAGACGCCGCCATTTTAAGTGCGATGAAGCCAAGCCGGCTTGCCTAGCGTGCCTGAAGTACCAGGGCTTTTGCACAGGATACACGCCAGCCAAGACAAAACCACTCGCGAAACCTCCACCGCAACGTCTCGTCTACCCCAGGCTTGCGGCCAGCCAGGCCAAAGCCAAGCTGGCTCTGGAGCCAAGTTACGCGTCACTCGCTTTCTCTAACCAGCTCGAGAAGGACCACTTCGACTACTGGCTTGCATTCTCACAAGCCTCATGTTTATTCCGTTCAGACTTCGTCGCACAGATCATTCCACAACTCTGTTGGGATGACTCTGTGATTAGGAATCTGGCCATAGCCATTGGCGCCGCCGCCCTCGGTGGCAACACTCGAGAACAGCGGATTTGCGGAAAGGGAAAGTTCCACAAAGACGCCCTCGTGCATTACGGGAAAGCGCTGAATATGCTCTGCTCATCACCGATGTCTTCTGAGAGGACGTTGCTCGCATGTCTCATGTTCATCACTTTCGAGAGCCTCCAGGGGAACAGGGCGGCTGGGCTGAACCACATCAACCAGGGCTTCCGAATCTTGGACCAGTGCCACCAATCTTTGGAAGCCGAAAGCAGCGCCCTATTAGACGGTATATCCTCCAGCTTTCAAAAGTTCAGCCACCAGGCTTGGGCTCTGAACGGCCTACATCCTCAAGAAACGGAAAAGAGGGTCCCATGGTGCTGTCGGGGACTAAAAGCCCGGTACGCTATCGACGAGATGCCGTCTGTGTTCGAGACTTTAGAAGTCGCCCGTCGTTGGTGGGCTATTGTTAGACATCATATCGAACACCACGCACCCTTGCGGACCAAATTCCAAGTCAAGGGCTCCTCGATGACGGACCCTCCGATGCTCTCACCAGGAGATGGCGCACCGGGCACCCTGGAACACATACTCAGCTTCATCCGGTACCTTGATCTATGGGACGCCACCTTCCGCCCGCTCGCTATAAGGGCCGAAAAGAATGACTCGGACTACCTGAGAGCGCTTAGTCTGAGGATCCAGTACTTATATCTATGGGCTGGAGTGCGCACTGGGAGCTGGACGGACGAAACCGAAGCAGAAAAGATAACAGCCACGTTCCGCGACATCGTAGCCCTCAGTCGGCAACTCCTTGCCGCCGAGGCCAGTCGACCGCCACCAAGAGCGGGAGAAGGTGATGTTGAAGTATTCTCAATGGATGACAGTCCAACGTGGCCTCTGGCTTGCGCGTATCGGGTGTGCAAAGCCCCTGATGTGCAGGATGAGGTTGTTCAGCTATTCAAGCAGTACCCGCGACGTGACGGCCTTCTGGATACACAGGCGTTCTTGGTAGTCATGGAGTGGGTTGAGCGCAATGCGTCGGCTGGAATAATCATGAACATGCCAAGTCCGGTGGTGGATTGCGTGGTCTGGGACGACAATACTGTCACACTTCAAAGGCAACTTTGGGACCCGGCGACATCAGAATGGAGTGACAAGAGCATCAAATTTAGCATTATTTAGAAGAGAAAAATTAGAAAGCGGTAAGGTTAAAACCAAGCAATATTGCAGTCACGACGAAATATCTGTGAGGTATGTCGAGATGCTGAGAGATATTTGGCCTCTTTGTACATTCTTGGCAGACAAGCGAGACCTTCAACATCAACTGGCAATCCAATTCTTTTGCTTCGCATATCAACCAGCGCTGCAAGTCCGGCCTACGTCGAAGTTGATGTGCCGACGCAAGGACCCTTAACTAGACCCAAGTCCCCTTACAATTGACGCTCATAATGTCTCTACAGTTTTTCCTTAATTGGTAGAGGGCACAGGTCAAAGTGTCTATATAGTGTTTCCAGAATTGTGCCCGCGTATGGGGTGAATTTTGCCGTAGTCTTTTTGCGGGGGGGCTGCGTCGTAAATACAAGCTCAATGTCTCTACAGAATTTTCATCCGTGGAAGACAGGGTCACCTGTAAAAATAGGTGCTCGTGCTGCTCCATTTCTATTGTCTTTCGGGTCCCTCTCCTCCAAGCTATCATCCAAGGAGCGAACCTCATTCTCCTCCTCCTCCTCCTCCTCGACGGCTCTTCTGGACTTAAATGGACCGTACGGATCACCGTCAGTTACAGGTGTCTTGTTCTCGACGTGGCTAATGGTTTCAACTTCAATAGCCCGACCTTCCAGTCGCAAACTGTGTAATGCGTTAGAATACAGAGACAGGATGAATGCAATGCATTTAACTTACAACGGGGCGGCGTAAGCAATGCCAAAAAATAAGGCCACAGCAACAATGGAGAACTTCATTTTCAAAGTAGTATTAGTCTTCTAGGTATTCAGACCGGCTGCTATTAGTTGCCATATTAACACTGATTACGGACGGGCGCTTTCGATGGCTTCTTAAATAATATTTGTTCCGGACGAGCTAGGGGGGTCATCCCTGTCTGATCGCCTTACTCTCCGCTTAAAGTTCTTGAGGGCGTTTCTGACGTTTGGGATCGCGACTCGCGATGCGCATTCTGCGGACTCCGCAGCTTTGTTCAAACCTTGCGAGTTGTTTACCAAGGAAATAGCCACAAAATCACCAAGATTTCTATTCACGCGATGTTACGCTGCCTTGGTAAATTTACTAGAAGGAAACAAATCTCACTCGTTGCTTTCCAACACAAGCAACGCTTTTGTGACGTTCTGACGACGGGGATCTATGAACCGGTGGGATGAGCTAGTTTGGTTGATCAAACATCTTGCTCATCTTCGTCCGAAGCTACGATCGACGGACGTTCGGACACCAGTCATGTGAAAGTGCCAATCATCCCGTCGGTATCACCGCAACATGGCCCGATCTTCACCCGAAAGTCACCCAGTTCGGACGACATTCTGAAGACTGCTGTTCCCAATGCGCACGATCTCACTGGCCAAACACACCTAAGTGTAGGATGCATCATATTGAATGAAAATGTTGCAATCTCAGATGCAATTTCTCAGCTCAATTGAAATAAACTGATGATCAAGTCTCGTGTCTCCACCTTCGTCAACACAACCCCAACGAACGCTTAAAACAGGCGAGCAGCGGCAGCAGCAGAGCCACTAGAAGCATTGGCTTTCTTGCCTCCGTTGTCCTTGTTTCCGTCGTTCTTCTTGCCATTGTCGACAGCGGTGCCATTGTTGTTTCCTCCAGCTGCGCCCTTGCCCTTGCCATTGTCCTTGCCCTTGTCCTTGCCCTTGCCGTTATCCTTGCCATTGTCCTTGCCCTTGTCCTTGCCCTTGCCGTTATCCTTGCCGTTGTTCTTGCCGTTGTCTTTGCCCTTGTTGTTGTCCTTGCCGTCGTTGGCGTTGGCGTTGCCGTTGGCCTTTCCATTGTTCTTGCCGTTGTCCTTGCCATTGTTGTTGTTGTTTTTGCCATCGTTCTTCTTTCCGTTGTTGTTCTTCTTGCCGTTGTCGGTCGCAGTGCCGTTATTGTTGTTGTTATTGTTGTTCTTGCCGTTGTTCTTCTTGCCATTGTTCTTGGCGGCGTTGTTCTTCTTTCCGTTGCGGCATCTGCAAGACTTGCCCTTAGCATCCTTGCCTCTCTTCTTCCCCTTTGCGCACTGGCAGTTGGCGTTGTTCTTCTTCTTGGCGTTGTTGTTGTCTTTGCCGTTGTTCTTCTTGGCAGCTCCTGAGGAACGTGTTAGCCGGCTATCATGAGCGTTTAATAGGCACTATAAGTCTCCTTACCACCAGCAGTCCCATTCGCCTGTCGGGCAACGAGGTCTCCAAAGTGGTTACCCTCATCGGTGTCACGGGTAGTCAGGCCATCCTCCTCATCCTCGGCCCGTGCGGCAAGAGAGAACGGAAGCGCGTCCTCCTCATCTCTCTCAAAGATTGCAGCGCCCTCGGTGATCGCATCGAGATCGCGGGCGACTTCATCGCGGGCGGCGTTGAGCCCGGAGTCTGTGACGGCAGCAGCGGCAAGGCTGGCCCAGAAGAGAACGGAAACTGCCTTCATGGTGATGGAAAAGACGCCGGATGTGTGTCGAGTAATTTGAAGGAGAGGAAGAAAACGGGCGTATCGGATCTCGGATCAACGAAAGAATGTGATGACAGTCAATGTCAGGTGGTACCCAGAGTTAAAGGAATAAGGAGTGAACAGAAGTGAAGGCGCTCGGCGCATGAAAGCTTGTAGTGAAGGTGGTGGACAAATTTCAAGGCCGGAAGAAGAGGATATGTGATGATTTATACAGCGGCCTTGTATAATGACGGCCTCTAGATGTTGGCAGTACGGCGTCCCTACAAGACGGTGCTGGCCTTACGGCAAATTACGGCATCCCCCTTACATGACCATCATATTGGTGAAACCGAGGATCTGCTAGAACAGCCAAGTTCCCATCCGAGACCCCGTGGGAAAATAGGCAGTGCAAGTTCCAGGAATGCAGATTGACAGCATGGGTGCGTTCGTCTGGTGTCAGGTTGAATCCTTCCATCCATTCAGCTGCAAAGTCTGCCACCAAGTTGGCAAGTTCAGCCATCTCGGCTCGGAGTCGGTACCAGACTGACACTTTCAGACGAGGAAGTAGCCTGAGCGTGCAGGATACATCCCCGGCCGACTCGTCTATACTAGCCGTCTCCATATAGCCTTATGATCAATATGATCCTCAGCCCAAGCATTTGGACCAACGTGGAGACCACCGGCAGGCCTGTGCCGACCGGTCAGGCACTGCCTCACTCGCTTCAAATACTTCCATGGAAAACTTGGCGTGGTGCCAAGCTCACGTCGGAGATCGAAAATGTGCCCGCGGGGTAGGCTAGCCTTCCACGGGGGCCGAGGCCAGCGGTTGGGGTAATCATAACAACAGTGCCGTGTTAGCCTCGACTGTTTTGTCTTGGCCCGTGCTGAAAAGTTCAGACATCTTCTGACGGAAGCTAAGGGATGAGGCGGACATTGGTCGTGTGAAATACCTGTTTCGGCGATTTGAGACGGGGACATGCCAGACCGTCTCAAGGAGCACCCTCGACATTGGATTTGAGATGGCTTTTAGAGTTAAAGTTTAAGCGCTGCAGGTGGCCTGAAGTTGTGGACATCGCGAGAAGACCGCATCCATCTCTCAATGTTCTGGCTCTTGCTCCTGCTCCTGCATTAGCTGCCCGACTGTTGTCTCATTACACTAGGTGCAGCAATCTAATGCATGGATCGAATGGTGCAACATTGCAGGTTTTCGCCGGCAACAGCCTCCGATTCTTTCGACGTTGACGTGGTCTAAATGTTCCCGTGTTAACCGCATTTGTGGACCAAAGGCCGTTTAGCCGCGGGAACTAGACTGCCGTCCGCCAACTTGGAACTGGGGTCAGCACCCGTCTCAGGTAAATTTAGTAGAAAATAGCTGTGGAAGGAATGAAGCCTATCAATGACAAGCTTATTACTCGTTGCCGAAGGGGCACCATGCCTGCTAGCGCCACCACGTCTGGAACTGGAACGACGCCTTCCCGTGATCTGAGCAGGCCCGGTATCTCGAGAACGAACTTGACCTGTGACAGCCTATCAACTTGATGAAATTTCTGTCATCCGAATGGCATGATTTTGTCAAACTTGTCACTCGGACTCGAATCCGATCGTCGCTGTTCGAGTCAACCACGGTATGAACCCATTAACACCGAGAATGCTGGGCACCATGAAGTGACAGGTCTGATGTCAGACATCCATGATTAGGTGGCATCATCTCAAGTTTTCTGCTTTCTATACGATGTGCCTGTAAGTTCATCTGTCGAGCCCTGTTTCGCATCCGTCGATCCCCCAGCGTGGCTGAGCACGTTGTTTTTCTGAGAATCTTCTCAGGATCTGGCGTCCCGACGTGTCGGTTGTGTTACGTGATGAGTATCTGTGAAACTCCATTACCAAATGAAAAATTTGGTGTCTCTGAATTATCGATCGCATGTTTTGTTCACCAAATTCTGCAATCGCAGTACTCTGGCTGTCGGATTTGAGTGATGTCATGTGATTATGGGTTATGGGACAAGAGCCTCATTGACTTAACTCAAAACACCAAGACGTGATTTGATCATCCGAGTATCAGAAGCCTTGGCATGACTCTCGCAAATGCGACATCCGGGTTCCAAGTGAGTCAATTGACCTGAATGGGAAGGGTCCTTGCCTGTACGCTCCGAACCCTGGTTTTCTTATGTTTGTTTGAAGGCGCAAGAGGGCTTTCTCGAAAACAAGCAAGTTTTGGTATCGAAGACGCCAACCAATGATGTTTCCATTTTCTTTTTCCTCTTTCTTCTTTTCATCTCTGGGAAATTCTCATTGGTAGAAACATCGGCTTGGATAGACTCTTAGTCTATGTAGGACTAGAGGATGTTTAGCAAAACTTACCAGGCCACCTTTGCGACGATGGCCTTGGAAGACAATTCCACACAACATGACACTAATGCCCGTTGACCGGCCACGTTCAGAGAAGTCAAAGGAGCTTGTATATCAGAAACAAATCCTTATAAGGCTCCTGTGTGAAACTTGACAATTGTGTTGGTCACCTTCCACCATTTTCTCAGTGCTCACTGGTGAACGAACTCAAATCTCTGGACTGCGCCATTTCATAGCTCCAGTCGGGATATTTCCTTCTCTGCGAAACAGTCGGGTCTAGTAGTCGGATACATCAAGACCCGAAGGATTGCAAGATACGGGCAGTCTAAAACCCCGTTCCCGCCGGCCTGACCTTGGAATAACACTACCCCTCATCACACCACAACGGGAATATCACGCGGCATGCAGGGTCCCCTCACTTCGGCCTTGGCTTTCTTCTTAGGTGGTACTATGATCATGCATAATGCAACCCTGATTTCCTACAGGCTAAACTGCTTCCTACAACGTGAATGGCGGCATCTTACATTCAAAAATTGAATCCACGACTGTCGCCATCCATAAGGAAAACCAAGTCAGCCATGGTATACAGCACGTAGAGGGTGTTAGAGATCTTCCATGTATTCCTTTGCGAAAGAATCTGTGTATAATTATGTAGGGGAATTACAGGGTCAGCAGACACCTGTAAGGGGCAAATTTATGCGTCGTTATTCTCCATGAATACAGACTGGCTATCTCGAGGTTTATACTGTCTGTCGGAGACGGCTCGGAGCCGGTGGGCCATCCTCCGAGCCCGGTGGAAAATGGCGTCCGGTACCGGAAATAATCGCACGACTACGTTACGGAAAAGTCGCTTATCCAGATATCGTCCGCAATGGTTCAAGTGGGTCAGAGGAGCCGGAGAAGATTAGTGATATCAAGTTCTAGCCCTGAGGAAATAAGCAGCATTCATAAAGTTGATTAAGCGAGTCCAATC